TAGGAAAGTATAACAAAATAAGTGTTCCAAGCAGCATTCACAAAGAAAAATTCATATGGATGTCTTTATTCTTTCTTCCTAAAGAGAGCAGATAGAGCGGACAATAAACAGTGATAATTTTCCAGATAAATAATTTATATACCAATTTTCTGTAATTACAACTTTTTACTCCATTTTCATAGAATAAATTAAGAAATATATATATATATATATGCTACAAATTCAAAAGCAACAACTAAATTAAAGAAGAACTATCATTTGAACATCGAAATTTCTTCATGGTTCTGCAACCAATGTTTAGATGTTATCTGTTCTACAACATCAATTCTATCAAGATATTAATCATCTAGAAAATATTAACAAAATAAAACAATAAATTTGATCTTTTCCAACCTTAATGGTCTTTCCATCATATGCATCAGTCCATCTCCCTCCTATAAGGCCCTGAGTTCGCAAGAGACCTGAACCACTAAGCCGAGTAGCAGCATTTTGTGCTTCAGTTCTTATCTGAATAACCCAATACCTTTTCAGATACCATTAAGACTTAAAATATCCATCACTAAAATATGAGAATGTAAAAGACATCAATCTACACAAGAAAGCAAAACAATCACCTTAAGACAGCAGAGATGCATAGAGATCAATGTAAAAAAGTTAGATTAAACTTTATAAACTGCATAAAAGAAAAGAAATCTTGTTTCATGTTCCATGAACATTTTTTTATTCCCTTTCACTTGTTACATCAAACATTTTTTTTATTTTAATAAACTATGCTGAAATTTACTTTAATACTTTTTATAGTAAAAATGAAAAATAAACTAATACCTGGACATAGTTATACCTTCTTTCAGAATTTATCCCTTAGTGTATGAAATTAGCACACAGACTTGTAGGTGTCAGTTATATCCATCTAATTCACATGCTCATGCAGTAGTTAGAAAGGGATCATTGCCTGGTGTAATAATAAAATCTTGGAATAACAAGCATAAGATACGGGCTCAAGCCTGCCAAAGGTTATAAACAAATCTTGTCAACCACTCCTAAGACCTAAATAGCCAGGAGGAGAATTGGTTCATGGTCGTTAAGTTACAGACACAAGATGCAGCCTCCCCTAAACATTACAAGTAGTCATAGAGAAAAGATTACAAAACTGCCCAAACTAACCGATCCCTAGCAGACCCTTGTTTAGCACGATAATCAGCCAAAGCATTTGCCTCCCTATCCACCCACTGGTATCTACACAAAATGTACCCTGCTAAACATTTAACTTTTTTAATGTGGTCCCTATAACTCCAAACAACTGAGTCTGGATTTGACAACCAGCCCACAATCACCTTAAGAATCCCATTCAATTAATAGGTTCTCCAGTCCTAGTTAATTAGCAATCTGAATTCCTTGTACTGCTGCCAACAACTCAGCTCTTGTGGAATCCCCTATAACCACCAGGCCGGAGAATAAGGATATGATATTGCCATTCTCATTCCTCAGGACTCCTCCTATGCTAGAATACCCTGACTGCTTCCGTCAAAATTTAGTTTAATAACCCCTTTCGGAGGAGTTACCCAAACTGTTGCAGCCCTGGTTTTCCTAGCCAAAGTGTGTGCAACTGCAGCCCAATTCCTCCAAATGTCATCAAAAGAGAAAAAGTTGAACAGAGTTGAACAAAGCCAAGGATTTCAACCAATGAATAGCCCTAGTTAAAATACATTCCTTCACTTCAATAAAGGATCTCTCCTTATCTTGGAAGGTTCTAACATTTCTTTCTTCCCAAATTGTCTATAGTGTGGTTGCTCTAAAACATCTCCACATACTACTCCGCTCCGGTTCGCTCACTTCGCTCATTACTGAAGCTCCGAGAACCCCCCTATATGCTTATGTTGTTCATTCATTCATTCCAATAAAATATCTTCTTAAAAGGCAATTAAAGTTATAAAATCATTATTTTTTATGTGAGAAATAAGAATTTAAGACCCTAACATGGACTTGTTCGGGCTTGCTTCTAGGGGCGTGGTACAAAGGTGACTCATAGAATCAAGAATGCAATATGTTTTACATCACATTAGTTACTTGAAGTAATGCAATTGAGGAAAAAAAGAGATTGTGGGTTTTCCATACTTGAAAATGCTTTATATGTTTGCTTTTATTTTTAAATTTTCATTTGAATACACTTTACCTGTTATGTTTATGTATTTTAATTTTAGATAATAGGTTTTTTAAAACATTTATTTTAAAATTTAAGTTTATATTTTTTTATTAATGTTATGTTTAATATTTTTTTGAATTTTTTGGATTTTTTATTTTTCTGACATTTTTTAGCATTTTTTTTTGTATTTTTGCGCCTTGCTCCAAAAAGGCACACACCTTGCACCTCAGGTGCAAATGGGCCCTTGCGCTTTTTTTGCACTTTGCACTCATAGTTGTCAAGGCAATGCCTAGGCGACAAGGCGCCCTTTGAGGCTCGCCTCGCCTAATCACCTAACAGTTTTCTACTTCCTACTATAAAAAACTTTTTTATTCATTCTTTTTTGAGATTATAATTATAAAATAGACATTATTAAACTAAAATAATCATTTTGTGTGTTTATATACTAATTTCCTTTTATTATTTTCTTATTTATTAGGGTTTAATCAACACAAACATTGCTAAATGTTGTATTGAACCCTTGAAGACTTAAAAACCTAAACCAATAAGTAAGGGAGAACTAAAAATTTTATCTAATCAACACATTTTTCTCTTCCTTATATTCTTCTTCTACTTCTTCTTCTTCTTCTACTACTACTACTACTACTACCAATACTTTTTATTTTCTTCTTTTCCTATAACAAAAATAAGGGTTCAACCCCTATATTTTTTTAATTTTATTTTCCTTCTTGCTTTTCTTCTCATGAATATGTTGATTTTCTATACTTTACAAATAAATTTATGCTTTTCTTATGAAAATCATGAATAATTATTAAAGAAATATGGTTATGGTACCTAGGGAACTACCCTAGGATCTATGTTTTTAACATAAAAAATCCATCGCCTAGGCGACTAGGCAACTAGGCCCCCCTCAATCGCCTAGCCTCGCCTTGGCGCCTTGAAAACTATGCTTGCACTTTTAAAACACTGATTTTAAGGAAGATTTCATAATTAAAAAAAGGAATTGAAATTCATAAAAAACAAGTTTGGTTTAGTGAATTCTGGTTGTTGCCTGGAAATTCTCTCTCCTATTTCTTCTTCTAAGTTCTAAGTGATCTTTACCCTACCTCAGCAGCAAGAATTCTTCTATCCTTTACCAATTTCTAGCCCATTCTTTGGTAGATAGAAGGCTGTCTACTTAGTTTTTCATCCCTATTCTACATCCTTGATCATCCAAAGCCTCTCCTTTACCAAACTAGCCTACCACCACATCTAAAAGTTGTAGAACCCCCTAAACTGTCCTACATCAGATGGTCACCAGAAATAAAATACATAATTTGAAAATGCAGCAAATTTCTATATCCTAAATCAGTCCAAATATCCAAATATAATTTCAAATAAAGAATTGCCCTTTACAGGATGTAAGATTTTAATCCAACTGATCATGAGGGTCCATATTACACAACCGAAAAATAAAGCAAAATCCATAAGATTCATATAACAAGAAAAATAATGAAATAATAATGACACGGGATCATAGAGCTAGCAGAACCAATAGAAGAATCAATTGCGATAAATTCTGCACCTTTTCCGCATTTCCAGAGCCAAAATAACGAAAAGATTCGTCTCAGAGTATATGAAAGGAAGAAAATTGCACAACAGAATATGTCTCAATAAAGGAATCAGAAACCATTAACTAACTCACAAACAATTAAACCAAGTAATGACCCGAAAAAAGAATTGTGAACCTCAAACTAGACTCACGCAATCGAGAGAAAAAACAGAAGATAGAAAGGGAAGAAGAAGAAGAAGAAGAAGAAGAAGAAGAAGAAGAAGAAGAGATTGCCTGACGGACGGAACGATGAGTTTGGTAAACAGATGAAGCACAGGTGGTCGGAAAGAGTAACCGGCTGCGGAGAGCCATGCGGGAGAGCGACATTGGAACTCAGTCGGAATCAGAGTAGTGACGAAAAACCGAACTGAGAATTGAATAAATAAATATAGGGAAAATTTATGATGCGGCGGAGGTATGATACCAAAGAGATATGACCAATCAAAGCCACTCGTTGAATTTTGATAAATAGTTAAATACAACTTGATTGGTTATCATTTTGATGATACCAATTGATTGGTAACAAGTTTTTTTCAGTATCATGTTTTTGTGGGGTCATGATTAAACCCATATAGATATAATCAGCAACTTTAACCGGTTCATAATTGTCCGGAGTCAAGACGTCGCCTTCCGCGTGGGCGATTAGCCGCCGTTGGTGAACAAACTTTGGCCGTTTAGGAAAAACAGACCGGACGGTTTGAGACTAGAGAGTTTATATGACACGTTACGATGAGTGGGGGATGAAAAAGTAATGAAAATCAATATTCTTTTGACCAATAGGGGGTTTTTATACTTCAGTCCACCTCAGGTGGGATGAACCCTGACTGTGGATCGATGCCAAATATACTATCAGGATCATCTCACCTGTAGCTCAGATTTTTGAGGTGGATTGATCGATATTAATATTAAATCTACGGTCAGGATACGGTTTATAGAGGGGCTACTAATAGATTAGGAGGGGTATAATTTCAAATTTCTGTGATGAACTGCAGTCTATTTATTCCTAAAAAAAAGTATTATGTGCATCAAGCGACGAAATACTAATATGATTCCACAAGGGATGCTTAAGTCCCTTGGTGCTTGATCGAGATAGTCTCAAAAACGATGCGACCCATAAAAATAAAGAGTTATCAAATTGTTGTTTGAAAAACGTCTTGGACCATGCTAAGTAAAAATGAAATAGGGCCCAAGGGGGCAAAAGGCGATGATTCAATATCAAAAAAAAGTACTAATATGGTTTCATAAGCTATGTAAGTGATTATTATTAGTGAAACCTATTACACATTGAACCTTATCTAAGTCTTTTTTTTTTTGCCAAAACTACTTCATTAATAAGGCAAACAAGTTTTTAATACACATATCCCCTGGGTGGTGTCAATATATATGTCACCAGCCCCTTTACAAGCTTTATAAGCTAACACATGAGTCATTACATTGCCTATTTATATATAAACAATCAAAATAATGAAATTCTAATAACATGTCTATACACTAGTCGAGCACACGAGCATAAGTTTCTAAGACCATATTTTTTATGACAACATATTAGTCACTTGTTTTGCATCTATCACTAATAAAACCTCCTTTCATCCATGATCTAATGATAGTTGTAATGCTCTTGACATTGCTCGCCACTCTGCTTCCATGCTATTTGTTGCCCAACATTGTAACTCAACTGCATAGAGAACTTGGTTATTGCAGTCCACACAAATTAAGCCTGTAGCAGCTCTACCTGTTTGAGGGACAAAAGATCCATCTACCATCCATTTTGCTGCATATTTATCATGTACCAGTTGAGAGCAAGGTTCAAAATATTGATTCGCCTGATACGCCGGTAGGGGCATATCAGGCGTTTCGTTACTTGTTTTTTATCTTTTTATTTTTCAAAATTAGTTTAGGGGAGCTGGTCTAGGACCCTCCATCCCCTGAACCGGTTAGACCCCCGATACATCCACTATAGGGGCATATCGGAAGGGTCCCGGAATGATACGTATCAGCTGATACATAATGATACTTTGAACCTTGGTTGAGAGTGAATAACTTGTAATTCCTTGCATCCCAAGTCTGCCTTAGCACAATAGCAAATAGACCCGACATATCTGCCTTCTCAGTATTTTGATCAAGTCTAAAGGGTTTGCTCCTACTACTTTGCCACTAAAATACAAGCTGAGAGTGAATAATTTCTGTGTTTAATCCTAATTTTAAGGCCAACCATATGGCTTTAACAAAACAGCATGTGAAGAATAAGTGGCTTATCATTAGTTGATAATCCCTCTGTTGTTAGGGGTGGTAAGGCAAAGGGTGTTGGTCTCCCTAAAGGATAGAGGATGACCAGAGGTGTGTATGTGGAATGAATCTTAGTGAGGAGGGAGATATGTAACTACAAGGGAAGGGAGCAAGAAGGCTAAGAAGCAAGGATTCTCCTAATAGTCTTGAGATGAATCTCATGTGGAGGCTTTCAAGCCTCTCCCCTTTTATAGAGAGACCACCAAAGCTATAATGAGAAAGTACAAAAAGAGGCTTTTCTTACTCGGGAGGGGATCAGAATTCTCTAAGTACCTAATGAGTAAGCCTTATCGGGGTTTTGCTACATGTCCAGTGAGTATCTTCTGGGATTGGGATTTCCCCTCCCTTAGAACTCTCACGTGGTACGTTTTTGGCTAAGGAGCTTTCATGCTAACTTGCGGTCACATGTTGGGAGTAAAGCCCTTCAGGTGATGACATGGCTTGTTGTGATAGGGAGTTTATTATAGATCATCACAGCTGCTCGCGAGGTGAGCTCTGTTTGTTGAGGCTTTAAATAACCATGAGCCACATGTATAAGACATTACAGGCATGTATGATTGCATTTGTCACTCTTAAGTGATTCCAAGTCATTGCAAAGGCCTACAGTTGTGATTCTAAGGTGATTTCATCAACAAGCACAACGCCCATTGCATGTACTATGGTGGTCACCCCTATGTCATCACAATCTCTGCAATGCTGATCTACATAATGAACCACTGTTGTAATACTTGCACATTCCATGATCCATCTTGCATTAACAGTTCATTTACGGTTTTTTTGGCTTAGATATTCAGCCACACCATCTTTTAGAATTGGTTTTCCTCCAACCAAAGAAGGTATCAAAACATCATTTAAAAGGTTCACTTTAGTTCCATCCTTAATTTACCAACAAAACTCTTCTTTCATCTCATGCATTATTGATATAACGTGTTTCCACCATGTAGGATCCTTTTGCTTATTTTTTATTGTTGTATTGAGCTTTAAATCTCCATACCATTCCATTATTAACTTCACCCACCAATCTTCCCGATCTGTGAATAGTTTCTACACCTATTTACAAAATAGCTTGGTTCATTTTATGCACTTCTCTAAAACCCAATCCACCCTCACCTTTCATTTTAGAAAACTTGCTCCATCCAATATGATGCCAACTTTTCTTCTTTTTTTCTTTTCCTCCCCCACCCACCAAAACTGTCTCTAGATCTTCTTAAGCTTCTTAGTAACCATTCCATAATGTAGTTAGGTATAGCTTGAGCCACAACCTTAATAATAGTGGTTCTACCTGTTTAAGACAAAACAAGACATGAATTGAATTGGCATATTTTGCACAAAGTGGCCACTCTTGTACTCCAAGTTGGGACAATAAATTAATTGTGCTGAACCCATCTAACAACTGTCTCAATAATAACAAAGATTGAGGAGTTCGGGGGCATTGATCCAGTTAATAATTTAGTCTCAAATGAAATTAATTAGTTGTAATGTAAGGGGGGCGATTGCAACACCATGTCCTCAATTGAATTAGAATTCATAGTCCTATTGTTTGTTTTTTTATGGAGACCAGAGAAATACTAGATCATGCATAAAGAATTGTTAGAAGATTTAAGCATGATGATTACTTTCTTGTTGATCCTATTGGTTTTTCGGGGGGTTTTTGGATTCTCTAGGACTGAAGCCAATGTAATCTTTAGCTCTCCTTTGCTAATGATAGGTTGGCTCACTTTTTAGTTACTAAAGTTCATTCCAACAAAACATGGTGGTGCACTTTCATTTACGCTCTACCGAACAAAAATGAACAAAAACTATTTGGAATTGGATATATGAAATTGCAAATAACATAAAAGACCCGTGGTGTCTTGTTGGGGACTTCAATAACTTCAAATCCATCAATAACAAAAGAGGAGGTAGGGAACCACAGCCTAGTCAGATTTAGGCTTTTAATGATTTTATTAATGAGTGCAATCTGATGGTGCTAGAGATGAAAGGAAATCAATTCACATGGAAGAACAAAACTGTAATGGAGAGAAATGATTGGATTTTGTAAATGATTCGACGAGAGCTTTATTTCTAGATGTCATGTTTACTAACCTTCCATTCTTGGCATCAGATCACTCCCCACTTCTTTTGCACACCTTATGAACTACTAGAGTGGGTCTAAGCCTTTTAAATTTGAATCTATGTGGTGCATAGACCCTAAAATTACAGAGATTGTTAGTAGGGTTTGGAATGAAGAAGTGGATGGGTCCAAAGTAGTCCAATTTGTTAAAAAAGAGTAATAGCCTAGTCAAAGAACTAAAGGCTTGGAACAAAAACCATTTTGGAGATATTTTCAAAAAAAATGAAAATGCTAATGGATAGATTGGACGAGGTTCAAAAGAAAATGTATAAGGACCTAACAAATAATATTCTAGTTAATTTAGAAAGTACCCTCCAAAAGCAACTTGACAAAATCCTAGAGAGGGAGGAGGCCTATTGTGCTCAAAGATCACGATTGATTGGATCAAATTAGGTGATATAAATAATAAATTCTCCCACACTATGTGATGCAGCGTGGAAGCAATAAATCGGGTTAGCTATGCAAGCACCAGGCGGACACAAGGCTTCGTAGAGAAGCCGATGAGAGCTATACGTGGATCTCTAGAAGAGAGAGAAAAGTTGGCGAGAACTTGAATGTCTATTAGCTTGGAAATAAAAGTATTTATAATGCATCTGGAAAATTGTAGATTAACTAGGAAAGAAAAGTTGTAAGTGATCTAAACATCTAATCTTCTAGCTAGGATCGGAGTCTTCTTTGAGGTTGCCTTGATCTCTACCGTCCGATCTCCCTGGGTCTATCCATGCATGGGTTATCCTTTCTTCTTGGAATTATCTTGAATCTTGAATCTTGAATCTTGGAATTATCTTGAATCTTGGAATTATCCTTATCTTGCATGTGCCTCTTATCTTATGAGATGTCGCCTAGATGATGAGCTGGCCCTCCATCATTTTCCCCCACTTGGAAAGAACTCGACCCCGAGTCGTGACTGGGATATGCAAGTGTCGCCTCTGGTAGGTAGCGATGAATGTCAGCAACGTTAAATGTCTTCGA